CGTTGGACATTTCTCTTTTTCCATTGTTTACTTCGTGGGTATGGTGACGTATTTCGGGTATAGTGACGTAACGTAACGGCTCCGCAGATTGGTCCATTCGGAGCCGTTACGTTTGGACCAATCCGCGGACTTCCTCACACACACGGCGGGACGTTGCGAGGCTCGCTGCTGCGAGGAGCGGGACACTGTGAGCTGGCTCACTGGTGTGGGGTCGGTGAGACAGCGAGACACCGCGGAACTCAGCCTGGGCACACACACAAACTCCCAGCCAGGCTGCGGGTGTGTGTGTGTTTCGGGCTGGGTTTCGCTGTGTCTCGCAGACGGCCACTGGGCTCACAGGGGGGGGGGGGGCAGGAGCTCCAACAAGCCGTTCAGGACAGAGAGTGAATACACATACTATACAGCAGGGGTGCCCACACTTTTTGGGCCGGTGGGCTACTTTTGAAATGACCAGCTCACCGAGGTCTACCAACCAAACATCAAATCTCAAATTGCAAGGGGCTGAATAACACGTTTTATGTATACATGGGATAACTACAACAACTCTATTTGGGTTCTTGAACAGAAACAAATACATGAATACATAAAACTAAAATGGCATGTTAACCTCTCTCTATTTCTCTCTCTCTCTGTTAAGAAACACATAACAAGCAGGCTAAGAAACCACTCTCCATGTCCTGAAATCTTAAACATAAAACACAAATATAAGTACAAGGAATACAATAAACGAGTAGAACACTCAACATCGACACCAGACTCAAATGGGTCCTATGAACAGTCTCTCAAAGTTATAATGATATATACATAGGTCCAATATAGGCATGTTTTTTTTTTTCACATTGGTTTCTCAAACCATTGAGAAACCAATGTGAGTTTGGAAAATTGCACAATATAAATCTATTCGAGTAGACCTCAACAATGGAGTTATGATCAGTAGAAATGGCCATGACACGGGACCTATAAACATAAGATAATAAGGATAAGGATAAATGTTTGCGTGGCAGCAGCATAAAACACAACACAAAACGTTGCACATAAGTAGAAATTAAAGAGTAGAAATGAACAATACTAGAATTTAAACATCTCAAAATAGAATTAAAGCAGCATTAAAAAGTAGAAAATATACAGTAGACTGTGAAGATAAACAAACTGACAATAAAACACTATTGAAGGGAAACATAATATTCTATGCAATTCTAGTGTGTGTTCATATCATGATTTCATATTTTGCTAAATGCTTTTAAACTCCTTTATCAATTTGATTTAAATGGTGTTTTGTATATAAAGCCTGCCGTTATTACCATCTCTTCATAATTGAAGGGTTGAAGCCTTTATATTTGAATAACTAAACAAAAAGGAGGCAACGTTTTTAATATAGAAAAGCCATGAACTAGTGTTTATATCTTTACAATAGAGTTGTTGCTCGGTTGGCTTGCTGAGAAATGGAGGAGTGATAAGAAAAAGTTGAGTTTGAGTCTGAAGCACTGGATCAATTCAAGAGGTAATCCGACCTGATTAGACAAACAAGGAGATCTCTGCGGTGAAAAGCAAATTATTTGAGAACATCTGAACTCAACATTTTCCTCATTTGACTCACTGCTGACAAGAGAGCAGAGGAGTGGGACATCGAGAGAATCTGTGAGTAATGGGAAGTAGAGTCAACAAAACAGACGAGACAGAAATATGGATGCAGGTTGGACCCTGCCGTCATCTGAAGAGAAAACGATGCATCAGATGCTTCAGGTTTGACTTAGCATTCTAGCAATGTATGCAGGAAAGTGTCAATTTGAACGCAGAGCAAAACAGTTGACTTGCATTGGCCAATATTGCATTCCTGACGTGTGATTTTGATTTTATTAGCTTTAAGTTAGCTTGTGAAAAGGCTAGTTGGCAAACAATTTGGTCGTAGACACAATGGGTGCGTCTCACTTCGGTTATTTTTCATTTCCTCGCTCCTCGGGGTCGGTATCACCGGAAGTTGATTTGTCTGCGCCATCTTGAGTACCGTCCCAGTGGCCTTATGTTTGCCGGAGGACCGAGGAGCGATAATCGAGGAACTACCAGACCATCTTCCGGTGAAATCCTCAGACACTCGCCCCGCCCCCTCACTGTGTATCGCTCACTGATTGGACGATGCAGCGCATGCACTGATCTGGCTGCTGTCAGACGATCAGCTGTGCGGCGTCATCACAAACGGATGTCGCTTCACGTGACGCTCCGGAGGAAACGACGTCCCATTGCTCTTAAAACTCATTCCCCTGCTTCTCGTGGTTTCCTTGCGTCTCTCCATGCTTCCCTGGTGGGAGGGACTAGTCGCAGGGAAACAACGCAAGTGAGGGAAGCAAGGAATCCATTTAACCGAAGTGAGATGCAGCTAAAGTCTTTCACCTCCAACTCAATGCTTGGAGGTGAAATGCACCGGGGACCTCGAGAGAACCTCTTTGCCAAAATATCAGCTGTTCAATTTTGGTTGTTCTCCCCAGAGGTTTTAGCTTAAAGA